AATCAGCGTCTCTCCCAGCAAGCTAACAGGAGACTCACTACCTTCATAAAACTGTCCAGTATTGATAAGTTATTCCACTAGTTAAACTTAGCAGCAAGATAAATTAAGTCAGGTACACTAAATTATTCAGTGGTAAATTCAAATGGTAAAGTGAAGCATCACTTCTACAACTATCTCTCCTAGTCTATATGTAGGAATAATGAAACATCCCTCAAAATTACGTACAACTTTTTGGGTCACCAATTAGTGCCATGGAGTACAAAGCTCTAAGACAGAAATGGAAGGCAATACTTTCAAGCACATGACCTAAAATAATGGATAAACTACATCCAGATCTGTGTCTAAGTGGATTTGAAATTCCACATTTACAACTACAAAGCCCAAATTTTTCCTTCTCAGAGGTGGCTTATTTTGTTAACTGATGTCTTTTGCTTTTGTCATTCACATCCAAATATATTCCACTCTCCCACCCTATGAAGCCATTTTTTTGTAACAAAATTTTTTAAAAATTCAACAAATTCATCGAGTCTGACAGTATATGCAGTATGCCAAACCCATAGTCTCCCACCTTGAGAACAAGTGGAGGGAGATCCATTTTCTCAACTCCCCTTGGGGACCAAGCCTCACCTTTACAATTAGCCGTGTTTCATTATATTGTTCTAAGTCTTTGTGTATTCTGCTTGGGTTCTGCTCATTTACTCTGCATCAGTTCATGTAAGTCTTCCTGCCATACTAAAATCTGCATTATTTCAGCCATAGTTTCAAACAGAATGAAATATCCCTTTGGTGAATAACTTTATATTCCAGTTCAACAGTTTTGGAAAATAGTCCCATTCCAGTTTGAACTGGTTCATTAGCTGTGCTTATAAAACATACTTTAGTTCAGTTAGCCATTCAGTTAAAAAAAAAAAGAATAGCAAAGTCTGATTTGGGTTTCAGAAAACGAGCACAGTTCCTTCTGGCTGCTGGTACACAGTTTGGTTCAAAGAGCATTTTAATAATCTTATTTAGGTCACATAGGAGTTAAATACTAAAGCTGATCAAAAATAATTCAGACAGCAAATCTTTAATATGCAACTATAAAAATAGAAAATGCATTTGCATACTAAAACAACACAAACACCTGGAACTCTCCCCTTCTTTCCATGCCAAGATCTTGTGTTTCACCTGCAACATCTGATAAAAACATATAAAACAGCACATACAGGAACTTGTTTGGTTGAAGAAAAGAGGGGAACCTGACTAGCAGAGATCAACTGAACAACGAGCAAATATGCGTGTTGAATGAACACCAACTAGACGCTTAGCACTGAGCTAGCTAGGTACTTTACAGAAGGAGACAAAAACCTAAGATGTGGTTCTTTATTATCTTACCATCTAGTGGGGGTGGGGGATCAAAACTAACACAGAAGAAAGAACAAACAATAAAAGACAGTTCATATACTTTTGTCCTAAATTGTCTGGCATAGAGAAGTATCCCATAAACTTAGTGAGATTTCAAAAATAATCCAAGCATATTTTTCTCATACTACTTGGAATTTTCTAATTTCACATTATCATTATTTTATAGTTTTCCTTATTAGAATGTTTCAACAATAAAAGTTTGGCTCTACAACTGCCAAAAATCTATTTCTTTCCTTTTCATCTGAAAATACTCAAATGGATCTGTGATCCTACTGATGAGAGCATTCCCTCCAAAAATGAAGCTCCATATTCAGCTGCATCACCGTAAGGTCATACCTGCGTGTCCATATCCTTCCACAAATCCACCACATGCGGCTTACCCCATGCTATGTGGGTCTGCCTCACTTTCTTTTTACATCTAGAGGCTATTAAAGAGCACCAAAGGGCTGTCCATCCACCGTCAGTCAGTCAGTCAGTCAGTCAGTCAGTCAGTCAGTCTATCTGTCTCTCCATTCATTCATCCATCAGTCTGTCTGTCTGTCTGTCCCTTCATCCATCCATAATCCCTTGCTTTGGCCACAGTCTTTTTTGCTCATACATTTCTTTCCCTCCTCATTTTCCCCATGCCTACTCTACAATCACAAATGTTGGCATTTTCTAGAAGTAATATCACTTTTGACATCTGTTTGAGTTATACGTAAGGCATAAAGATTAATGCTGTGATCTATCTCCTTCTATCTTTGTTTTCTACCACACAGGAAAGGTATCAACCTCAACGAGGGAAGCCCCAAAACACTGTCATTCTTTCTATTTAAAATACAGGCAAACTTCTGATCGTTCCGAACCTTTTGGTGAAAAGGCTACTCAGTGCCACTGGCAACGAGGAGATGAAAATGAAGCGGCAGAGCAGAGTCAGACATTCCTGCAGCTACTGCCTTCCTCCCTAGCAATCCCAGAAAACCAGAGAGCTCCCATCTTGGAATTATTCAGATGAAGCTTCAGGATGGACAGGAGAGTTTGATCTATGGTATAGGACCCCCAGTTTTAAAGAGATGAATCAGATCCTGCTTGAGAGCATAAAGGAAAAAAATCTGAACTAATAAGCCATGATTGCCAGAGACAATGCAGAAAAACATTTATGCTAATTACAGGATCATCATGAGAAATAATGAAGGAAGCCTTTGGAGAGGGGTTTGGATGGGATAGATGGGTAGAGGCAATCCATTCTACTGGTAGAGAAAACTAAATATTAACAGGAATCTTTTCTGCATGTATAAGAACACTGATCCTTGTAAAGGACATCCTAATCCCTGAAATGTTTCCCCATCTACTCCATCATTGTTAGAAATGTAGTTCTACATTGTTAAATATTGATACTTTTATTGCAAGACTGTGTCTTAACCTTCCACAGAAGACAAAACAAACCAAAATGTTGCCTCTCTCTGCTCTTGTAAAACATTCTAGGAGTACAGTAGAGGAATTTCATTTGTTTTAAAAGAATACTTTATCTCTACACTACTCAAACTACCAAGGGTTGAGAGTAACTTAACTGACCCCTGAATGACAATAAAACCTTACAATGAATGTGGACCACTGCATATCTACATTCTACCAATGCCACCTATAACATCCTAAGTGAGAAACCATATGTGATGCTTAATTACTAAAAGATCACTAATGCTCTAACAGGTTTCCAAAAAGGGGCTGGCTACAATAGCCTCATGGGTCTAAAATAAGCCAGTCAAGAAAATAAGCTTAAGCGTTCCTCACTTGTCTTCTTCCGAGGAATGCAAAACTGTTAGAAATGACCCAGTTGAAGACAGCCATGAACTCCACCAGCCAAAGCCCTCGATGGGTCATGAAATAAGTGCTGATAAGGATGAATGGGAGTGGTAAGTTATGATGTAAAAAAAGCAGGCTAAGTAAGGATAAGACTCTAGCATGAGATACATGCTCAGCTAGGGATGGTTGTGGTACTTGAAAAGCCTGGGCAAACGACTGCAAAGTCTGGCCCCACCAGACGTGACCTTCCAAGGTCTTCGAGGAAAGACATACTCCATCCATTCTTCCATTCACCATCCATCTGGTTGCTTACTATGACACTAAGCCTCGCACAATGCCCTTGAGCAAGCCTGCCACCCAAACTGTGACATGGTTCCTAAGCACAGGCCTAGGCCTACCGCAATGGCTGCCCACTAAGCCCGTCCATAACTCCTGAGGTGATCTGTCATGTACCTGCTGGCTGGTTGTGCCCAACCACAACAGCTGAAAGAAAAATTAGTTGTGTGCTTCTTTTCATACTCACCAGACAACACCAAAGGCTCCATATCCAATAGGTCTGTCCGGCTCAATGTCCAGCTGCTGCTGTGGATGGTGTGAGTGCTGATGATGGTGCGCTTTAACTGCAGCTGCTGCTGCAGCCTGTACCTGAGCTGGGGCCGTGGCAGCTGGTCCAGGGGCCTGACCTGGTGCCGGTGATGGGAAATATGGCTGTTGTTGCCCGGGGTTTAACATGGCGGCAGCCGCCGCGGCTGCAGCAGCCGCGGCAGCCGCTGAAGAGGTATGCTGCTGCACAGGGTGGACAGCAGCAGCTGATCCGGGATGAAGATGGTGTTGAGGGTGGTGGTGGTGGTGAAGGTGTGGAGGAGGAAGGTGTGGAAGGTGGTGGTGATGGTGGTGGTGGTGACCTGCTGCTGCCGCCGCAGATGTACCACCATTGTAAGCCGCCATCATTTTTGCGTTGGCTGCGGTGCCACAAAGAGACATTAAAAAATGCCCTTTGATTTGAAAACAAATTGGGTCAAGCTGTCATTTGGCCATTTAAAAATGAAGAACACCACTCCACCTTAAGAAACATAGAGCTTAGCTGGCTTTATGTCTTCATCAATCAATCCAAACAATTTAGAGGATCTTGGTGTTTTCTTTTCCTTTGTGGGTGTGTGTTGCAAAAAAATAGAAACAAAAACAAAACAAAAAGAAAAAGAAAAAGGGACCCCTTCCCCCCAGGATTCCTGCCACAGTTGAGTACTAAAACTCCATTATTAACATTTTTTGGGAGCCCACTAACTTTGAATGTAAGAATAGAAGCCAAATCTCCTGCTCCCCCAGAACCACTCACACAAAAAGACCCAGGTAACACACCACCCTTGGAAACCTGTAAGTAAGGTGGCTTCACCTACCCCTTCCATTCCCACATCCTTTTCTGAACACCTTTCCAACTCCTCAAAAATAAAATCCTCACTCCACCTTGTCTCCCCCCCCACCACCACAAAAAAATTGGTTTTTAAGATGGGGGGGGAAATCAGAGAACGAAGCCCCCCCCCCCTGGACCCCTCGGGCCTTCTTCCTACATCTCCCCTTCCTCTTCAGTTAGGTGGACTGGGAGGGGAAAGGAGGGGAAGGGTGGGGAGGATGGGGATGGGGGCGGGGGGGGGTGGCTAAACTTTCCCTGGGCAGGATGAGCCAGGGAATGTGGGAAGGTGGCAGGAAAGGGGGAGGGAGAGACAGAGACAGAGAGAGTGAGGGGGAGAGGAGGAGACAGGGAAGGAGACAAGAAGAGAAAGAGAAGGGGAAAGTGAGGAGGAGGAGGAGGAAGATGAGGAGAAGGAAGAGGAGGGGGAGGAGGAGGAGGGAATGTAAGGTGGGGGGTGGGAGGGAGGTGAGATGGGCAGCGCTCGCTGCTCGCTCGATCCGGCGCCCAGGCAGAGGGAACCGCCCCGGGGGCTGAGGCTGGGGCTGACCCCGGCGCCGGGGCCGGGGCCGGGGCCCAGCGATGGAGCCGCAGGAGGCGGGCGGGGTGCGCTCGAGCTCGGCTCGGGCTGCCTCCTGCCCCCGCCGCCGCCGCCGAGCAGGGCTGGGGGGAGAGCGGGTGGGTCCCCCGCGCGACGGCCCCGCCGGGCTCACGACTGCTCCGTCTCCCCCCTGCCCCCACCCGGCTCTCGGCCGCCGCCGCCGCCGCCTTCTCTGTGTCTCTTCAGCAGCCGCCGCCGCCGCCGCCTCCTTCCTTCAGCTTCAGCCGCCGCCGCCGCCGCCGCCGCCGCCGGACTCACCTCCCTGCACAGCCGGATAGAGCGGAGCCAGCGGCGGACACGCGCAACCAGCCGCCGAGGCCCCGCCCCCGCCTCGCACTGACCGGCCGCCTCAGCCAATCGGAACCCGCCTCCGCGCGCCCGCCTCCAATCGCGGGTGCCGAACCCCAGACGGGCGGGTAGCTTGGCCAGTGGAGGCAAGGTGGGGAGCTCCTTGGGAAATCCTGCCTTCGAGCCTCGATAGGCAGGCCTATAATCCAATCAAGAGGTAGAGTGCGTTCTGAAGGACGGGCCCGAAAGCGAATCGGAAACCAAAGATCACCGGTGACATTCTCTTTAGCCCCGCTTTTTTTTCCCCCTTTTTCTTTTCTTCTTTTTTTGCGGGGCAGGAGCAGGAAGCTGCGTGCTAACCTCGGCTATAAGATCTGAAAGAGAGGGGTGGAATGAAAGGACCAATCATAGGCTGAAGACAAAGAATAGACCCACCAATAGACGGAGCGAGGGCGGGATGCTAATAAGATGGACACCTGGAATTATCAAATGGAAGTGAGAATTGACGTCGGTACCTCCCCCAGATCCCATATAGGGTAGGGCTATGGAGACCTCGCTGTCATTTGTGCGAAGGTCTCTTCAAGGGGCGGGGCCCAATCTAATGGGGCGGGGCCTTGGGAAGGGGTGGAGCCTATATTCAGTGGGAGGAGTCCAAACCAAGGATTAGCCTCAGTAATGGTTATCTAAATTTGAGTGGGAGAGACAAGCCTTCACCTTCTCTTTGACAAACAACCCTGACCTTAGACCGCTTTAAGAGGAGGAGAACGGGAAGGAAAATTGAGGTCACCAAGTATTTCAGTCACTGAGCCAGCCTCTGGCATCCTGACGCTGCCCACGTGCTGCACCAACCCAGCCATTCTGATGCAGAGATTTCTTCACGGGCATTCTTCAAAGCTTCGCTTCCTATGGAAGATAATGGAGTGGATTTATGAATGTTCACTACTGCAAATTAAGACTGGTGCATCTTTTTTTTTTTTAAATTCCAGGCTTGGTGGAAGGATACAAAGATTAATTGTTACATATGTTCCTCCAATAAAAATATAAGCTCTCTGAGGGCAGAAGCCGCTTGATTTTTTTTTAATCTCTATATCCTCAGCACCTAGCATAATGTTCGGTGCTTAATAAAAACTAAATGACTTGAAATGAACTGAATTGAAGGGGCTGTAAGACATGCATAAAAACCACAATACAAAGCAAAATGTGATTGGTTGATTCCCTGAGAGATGCAAACAAGGGAGCGTTTGGGCATTGCTCTGGATGGGGGTTTCTGCCCTCCCGTCTTTCATCCAGGAGGGGTACCAACACGGAGGTCAATCCATTAGTCACCCCCTTTCCTCCCCAAAAGCATCAGCTGAGAGGCCTTTCTCCTCAGGATTATTTTAGGCACTGGGGATGAAAAACTGGAAGTGGGATGTGAGTCAGCAAGATAGCAGTTGCTGTTTTAAAAAAGCAAACAGGACACTGGAATGCATGAATGGGAATATAATGTACAGGAAGTGTGGGAGGTGATCTTGTTCTTATGCTAAGCATGGGCTGGGTCCTGTTCAAGTTGAAGGCAAGATGGGTAGGACTGGAAAAAGTCCAGTGTGGGACAATTGGAGTGATGAAAGAATTGGGAAAGGGCTATAGAGACTGAAGAAATTAGGATTACTTAGATTAGAGATTTATCTAGGCTTTACGTTTATAGAGAAGCATTATTTCATTTGATATTCACTTCAACAATCCTGCAACATATAGATTACCATTCATTTTACAGATGTAGAAATTGAAGCTTGGAGGAGTGAAATGATTTGCTTATGGTCATATAACTAGTATTTGAGGCAGGATTCCTGCCCAGGTGCTCCTGGTTCTTTCCACTACACTAAACTGCCTCTCTGAAGGGAAAACAGGGACCAGAGGGAAGTTAAATACCCAAATATCCTCTGCTTGAGGAAGGAGGGCCAAGGCTTTCTATAGTTCCTTTATCTGTTTCCAGCATTATCTCTTACTACTCCCACAAATACACACCCCATTCCAGTCAGGAAGATCTCCTCATTGTTCCCCAAATACTGTCTTTACTGCTGGGTCTTTGCTTGGGTTCTTACCTAGAATGCCCTCTTTCCTTCTCTTCTCCTATAAAGGGCCAACCCAGAATGCGAAGCCTATCTCAGGTCTTTCATAGAGCCCTTGCTAACCATCCCCAGCCCATAGTGAGAGCCCCTTTGAAAAGCCAAAGTCCTTTTTTTCCTGCCTCTGGTCTGATCACATTTCTTTTTGGTTTAGACCAATGATATCATGGGGGGGGAAAGGGACTCTGGTTATGGAACACCTCCTCTACAAAAACAGATGGCAACCAGCCTGCCATTTACTCTTAAAGAGTAGCCTGGGGGCACTAAACAGTTAAGGGCAGCTAGGTGATGCAGTGGATAGAGTGCTGGACTGGAGTCAGGCAGACTCATCTCTGTGCGTTCAAATCTGGCCTCAGACACTTAACTAGCTGTGTAACCCTGGACAAGTCGCAACCCTCTTTGCCTCAGTTTCCTCATCTGTAAAATGAGAAAAAAAATGGCAAACCACTCCAAGATCTTCGACAAGAAAGGCAAACAAGTGGCACAGTGGATAGAGCACTGGCCCTGAAGTCAGGAGGACCTGAATTCAAATCTGGCCTCAGACCAAACACTTGACACTTACTAGCTGTGTGACCCTGGGCAAGTCACTTAACCCCAACTGCCTAAAAAATAAAAAAAAAGAAAGGCAAACAAGTCCTCTTATCAATACCTATCTTTTTCTCCTAATTTCCTGTTCCTGCCATTGGCATAGCCATTCTCCCTGGTTCAAAATCTTGGAGTTACAGTATTTCCAATTCCCCCTCTCCTTTGCTCTCTTGTATAGTTAGCATTTCCTTTCAATTATTCTTTTGCAAAGTCTTTATTATCTACTCCCTTCCCCGCATTCTTCCTAGTTCAAACTCTCATTACCTCTCCCCTGGGACTATTTCAATAATCTGTTAACTGGTTTTCCCGCTGCTAAACTGTCTAGATTCATTTGACCAGGTGCACCATTGCCAAATAAATCATCCCCAAACACTGCTTCTCCAGTTCAAAAGCTTGTAATGGCCCCTATTGCATATAGGTAAAGCCCAAACTCCTCATCCTGACACTCAAAGCCTTCTCTGATCTAGTCCTGATCTACCTTTCCTGATGTATCTCTCAATTCACCTGTATAACAAAATCACAGTATCTCAGAGATGAAAAGGATGTCAGCAACCCTCTAGCCTAACAAGTGTCTGAACATAAATCCCCTCTCTACAGTATTACTAGCAAGAGGTCACTCAGCCTTTGCCTGGAAGCCTCCAGTGAAAGGATTTTCATCTTTTCCTCCCACCACTTCCAGAGACAGTGCATTGCACATTTCCTAATTGTTTGGAAGGTTTTCTTGTCATCTAGCCAAAATCTGCCTCTTTTAAACTTAGGATCACAGAATCACAGCTGCCAAATCTTGTCAATTTTCATGGAATCATAGAATCACAACTTGCTCCTTGGGTCTCCCTTGGAAGCCAACCAGAACAAGTCCAGTCTCTTTCCCATATGAACCCTTCCCTATAGCCAGATTTTCTTACTAATCTTTGAACATATGGTGCCAATTCTCACCTCTAAGCCTTGCTCACAATTTCTCCAATTTTTAATGTGCTTCTTTCTCTCCAACCATGTGAAATATTTTTCTGTATTCTGTAAGGCTCAGCTCAAGCCCCAGATGCTCTGTGAAACTTCCCCTGAAGATGATGATAATATCACTTTATCACCTGTAAAAGACTGCTAGGTTTACCACAATCCTCTGTGTATTATTAATATTTTTACTATCTTTATTTTTAAAAATCAAAATGTAAGCTTCTTGAAGGCAAGGGGTCTATTTGCTTTTTCTTTGAATCAACAATACTTAACTGATTGCCTGGCTCATAACATGTATTCAACAGATGTTTTGTTGATTGATTGATTTTCTGGGCATTACATCTTGTCTCTCCAGGTAGGTTGTAAACTGGGAGAGTGAGGCTGATGACTCTGCACAGCCCTGCCTCAGTTAAATCCAATTCACTTGCAAGTCAAGACATTACCCTCCTAATGTCATTGGTCCTCTTCAAGAACGAAGGACAAATAACAACAACAAGCTCTACATGGTGAGGCACTACGTGGTATATTTCATTAATATCCACTACTGTGCCTTGAATATAGTAGAAACTTAATTAAATGTTTTCAGGCTGGTTTATTTCTACCCTTTTTGGCATTTGAGATCTGCCTGTTGATGGGAGGACTTCAGCTATCTGGACGTCTGCTAGAACTCTGTCTGAAAAGCAGAGCAGCTGATGAATTTGTTATTTGCTTGCTGATAGAGCAATGAGGGGAAGTGTTATTCTGGTCCAGATCCTGACCAGCATTATTAGAATCACTTCCTAAATGATGTACCAGCTTCCAGTCTCTCCTCTCTCTAGCCCATCTTCTACACAGCTTCCAAAAAAATCTTCCTCATGTACAGGTCTGACCACATCTCTCTCTCTCTCTCTCTCTCTCTCTCTCTCTCTCTCTCTCTCTCTCTCTCTCTCTCTCTCTCTCTCTCACACACACACACACACACACACACACACACACACACACACCCTTCACTCAAGGATCGTCAGTGACTCCTTACTCCTTCGAGGTTAGAATGCAAATCCCTCACTTGGACATTTCACAGAATTTTAGAACTGGGAGGGATTTTGGTGTATCTGGTCCAACTGAAAAAGAATACCCATCACAATAGACCCAAATAAGTGGCCACCCAGCCCCAGCTTGAAAACCTCCAGGGAAAAGGAATCACTTCCCTCATTCTGCTTTTGAATAGCTTTAATTATTTGAAAATTTGTAAGCTGAGGTGACACTGGCATCTTAAATCTTTCTCTTGATATCTTCTACCCAGGGCTTTTGGGTTTTTGCCTTTGGGGCCAGTCTGAGTGAGACTAAGCTCTCTTGCATACGACAATTCTCCAAACGCTAAAACAGAGTTATCATGTTCCTTTTCTCCATCCTAGCCCCACAGACCCCTTTCCTCCAGACTCAATATTCCTTTCTTTGAACTTCAAAATCCCGATCACCCTCTTCTGTACACTCTCCAGCTAGAGGTCAATGTCTTCGCTAAGCTGTGGCGTCCAGACCTGAACACGAGACTCTGGGGTGATCTGATAAGGGCAGGAAATAGAGGGACTGTCATCACCTCCTCATTCTTAATGAAGCCCTAGATCCTATTAGCATGTGAAGCCTTTCACAGTATGACTCCACCCAACCTTTCTAGATCTATTTCGACTTGCTCCCCTTCCATACTATTTTTCTGCCAAACCAACTTATTTGCTGTTCCCTAAACTTGGCATAGGGGCAGCTAGGTGGCACAGTGGATAGAGTACCAGGCTGGAGTCAGGAAGATCTGAGTTCAGATATGTTCTCCAGCACTTACTACCTGCATGATCCTGGTCAAGTCATTTAATGCTGTTTACCTCAGTATCCTTGTCTGTAAAATGAGCTGGAGAAGGAAATGGCAAACCACGTCCGCCAAGAAAACCCCAAATGGGTTCATGAAGAGTCAGACATAACTGAAAAATAACTAAACAACAACAAACAACCTTGGCATCCCATCCCTTACCTCTCTACCATTCCACAGACATCCCACTTGCACAAAATGCACTCTCTTCACCTCTTCCTCTTCATTTCCTTCAAGGCTCAATTCATCTAGGACTTAACTGAGCGACATACTTCCATCATTCTGCTTCAAGACCTGCAATGACAGAGTACCTCAGTACCTCCTCAGGTAGCTTGTTCTATTTTTTACACAGCTCTGATTTTTAGGTCTTTTCCCCACCCTTGCCTTAGATAGAATCATGGAATCCTAGAAATGGAGGGGACCTCAGAGATCATCTAATTCGATATCTAACCAGAACCTGAATACCATTTACAACATCCTCAGTAACTGGCAATCTACTTT